GAACAAATTTCTACTGATATATATATATATATATGTCGTGCCGCATAGGTAAAACTTGCGATTTCTTGCCGAATAAGGCAAGTGAAAATTTGTGTATGCAATAATTTCGCAAAAATCATTCTGAACCTTACGAAAACAATATATTTCATTGTGTTTGTTTATTATTAAATTATTGTAAACTTATCTAAAACATATTTAGTTGGATTAGGCTAATTTAAATTGTTCTTGTTATAATAAGGTTAGGTAAGTTTTCTAAGGTTCTTTTGGTACAAAATTATTGATTTTTACATTAACATAAATAAAAAAAATATATTTTTAAACGTATAAGAGAAGATTTTAGAAAGGACTTATTTTTAAATAAGTTCCTGCTAAATGACTAATTTTACCTATTCGGCACGACATATATATATATTCTTCTCGGCTTATATACAGAGATAAATACTTATCACTGTTGATACCCTGATAAAGTGATACTGACAATCTTTTATGAGACAGTTTAACCTAGCATCTCCGACGTAAATGTTTTGTTATTCCCTTATAATCTGTATTGAGGAGGATACACTCAGCAGCGAGGAGAGACTTTAGTAAAGTTTATCAGCGTGTTATGAAAACGGGTGTGACGGGAGTGGCTAACTTGATGATAAAATACGTAAGTATCTAGGTATAAATACTAACCAGAGGTGTAATATAATATCCAAAGGATGAATAGCGTATTACTAGTGTGATGTGGACTTCTCTACTGGCATTCAGTGCTAACTCAAAATTGGAGGGGAAGGTTCAGACGCTTCCGACCGTCGTAGACCATTATCGCCCAAAACGTTGTCTAAATATTGATTTGAAATTTGTGAATTAGTTGTGAACTATTCCAGTCAGGGTGGTGTGGTTAGTTGTGAATTGTTCCAATCACGGTATTATGGGTTAGTTGTGAAATGTTCCAGCTACAGTATTGTGAGTTGTGAAGTGTTCCAATCACGGTATTGTGGGTTAGTTGTAAATTGTTCCAGTCACGGTATTGTGACTTTCAACGCTGGTTTACTAAACTTTTACAAACAAAAACAAAAAAAAAACTGAAAATGCAATTACCATGGTCATACAACAACACCTGAGGAATGCAAGGTAGACGAGTTTGATCCATGATCACATGATTGCCTTGTCGATATATTTTTCAACTTTGTTTATAGATCACAGGATGCAAGCATTAAGTTCCCCCCGTCTTCTAATAACATGTTCATTTTCCACTATAATCTCCCTTGTCCACAATTACTATCGCATTCGCTTTGTCTGTTTCCTAAGGTGTTGGAGAGGTCTGAGCAAAGCTCAATGTGAGTGTGAATCGAACTTGCCTAGCATGGGCCAGTAGGACTACAGTAGTGCTCCTCCTTTCTCGTGTTATTTGCAATTCGTCCTGAAGATGATACCACACGAAGAAGGGATCAATAAAATTAACAACACAGTAACTATCATTATTACTCAGGAGAGGAAGAGCGCTAAACCCTGGAGAATGGGAAGCGAGTAGATTCAAGCCAATGTAGGGGAAGGGCAGGTGTAGTTCTTTGCATCAAGAACCATTTACTGGCATCATGGCATCTTATCAAGAGTCCTTCATTAGCACTAAGAACTCTTCACCAGTATCGAGACCTTCGCCGTCATCAAGGCACCTTCATCAAATAGACCTTCGCAGTCATCAAGGAACCTTCATCAAGAGCCATCTACCAGCATCAAGACACCATCAAAAGCCCCCTTTACTGGCATCAAGGCCCCTTCATCAAGAGCCCTTCACCAGCATCAAGGCACCTGTCACGTGATATCTCTTCTTGGCCTCAGTACTAACATAGCAACCTATCTTAATTATTATTATTATTATTATTATTATTATTATTATTATTATTATTATTATTATTATTATAATTATTATTATATTTAGGAGGCGAATGGCTAAACCCGTAGGTAGCGATACAGCGCCGGGGAATGGAAGTATTCAAGCTCGACATAAAAGGAAGAGGCGAGGAGCTCCCATTCCTTCATTAATTTGGTTAAACTTTACGTAAAATAACATGTCTAACTTGTTTGTCACAATCTAAATTCTGAGTGAGAGGGAGATGAGGGAGAGAAAGCCAGTCCTCAGGTGACCCCAGTTTTTATACACCACTTTCGCACGATGCAACGAGACGAAGTTATTATTAATTAAGTTTATTTAGACACAGGTACATATAAGCACAATTATTATGCGTAAATTACCCAAAATAACTCCAAAAAAGGTCGGGTAAAGTGACTTATTTTTCACTAGGGTCCTAGTAATATCTTATTATTTAAATTATTGTTGTTATTATTATTATATTAAAACAAGCTGTAAAACCGTATGAGTAATGTAGCGCTACGTATTCAGGCATCAATAACGAAAATCAGGGAGCGGGTGGAGGCGTGAAGCCTTGACAAATGATTTGTTGGCAATCGCATTCTTACGGTTTCGTAAATCAATAACACCTTCATTCATAACAGTTATTGTAATGGGAGGGGCAGTGACTGGTGCACGCGCGGGCACAGTCAGTTTAGTGGAGCAGCGTTAACCCTGTCCAGTAACTGCATATGGACGCCAAGACATCCTCTAATACTGCTTCGTTTCCAGTCTAGGAGGCTTGCTCTGAGACCCCTTCCTCTCCACCACCCTACGAGTAAACGATAATCCACAGAACCACTAACAGATAACCCATAATCCTCCGTCCGCTAGTGGTGGGACCTTGTGCCTCACCAGGCTGGTCATTAACCTGTAATTATCAACTCATTTAATGTTCTAAGTCACTATTATATTTTTATCGACGCTCTCTTGCACTTGAAGGGCAGCCTTGATGCTGAAGGGCAGCCTTTGATGCTGAAGGGCAGCCTTGATGCCGAAGGGCTCTTGATCCCAGGAATTAAGGAGTCTGATTCTCTGAATATAGCCTGAGTTCCTAACCCCCATTCCCTTTCCCCATTCCCCAGGCGCTGCATGGCTCCCACGGGTTTAGCGCTTCACGGGAATGTAATGAAAATCAAGGCCTTTTTTTTTAAAGGCTTTTTCTAAAAATCCACATTACTATGTAATTTGTAACAGTTCTCTGCATTTTTTACTTTATTACTTTCTTAAACAACATTAATTGAACCAAGACGACTGGACAATTTCTATAAACGTTCGTTAACTCTGCAATCTGAGGTAAATTATTTTTTGCACAGTAAACAGGTGATATCGCAATATACAGAACAAACATTGTGAAAAAAAACAGAAGAATTCCAAGAGCTTTCGTGATTTCACACACACACACACACACACACACACACACACACACACACACACACACACACACACACACACACATATATATAATAATATAATATATATATATATATATATATATATATATATATATATATATTATATAATTTTTTTCTTTCAACAAACCGGTCATATCCCACCGAGGCAGGGTGGTCCAAAAAAGAAAAACGAAAGTTTCTCTTTTTAAATTTAGTAACATATACAGGAGAAGGGGTTACTAGCCCCTTGCTCCCGGCATTTTAGTCGCCTCATACGACACGCGTGGCTGACGGAGGAAGAATTTTGTTCCACTGGAGGCTTGTACTGAGTATTCGTGGAGGAGCCCAGCCTGTCCGTCTGATTGTTTCTTAGGTTTAGTCGAGTGAGCTAGAGGGTTAAGTAAGGTTTGCCAGGAAACAGGACAAGTGTTTCTTGACGCAGGGTCATAGTCATATGATGACCCGCAGCTGGAGCTTTTGGTCATCTGACCGAGGCCTTCCTCTAGCTTACTGGGCCACCCCATTAAAAATTAAGGTTGTAATCATAACCAATTTATTATACTAGAGGGCTCTGAGGGAAAGCTTATGTGCGAGGTACGAACGAGGATCACGTGACTTAAGGCTTGGCCAGGGAGCCTACCTATAAAACAGGGTTATCACAGCATATACTACACAAATATTAGACTGTTGAGAGAGATCCGTGGTGTGGTGTGTGGAGAGATGGCAACCTACATGCATCATGGCAGGCAGCAATCTGGGAAGAGGAAGATCAACCTTGGCTTTTCTGGGTCCACTGTCACCCCCATCCCCTCTTCCCCCCATCACCATCTCTCCCTCGTCTCCTTCCCCACCACCACCACTATTATAACCATCATTTCTTTCTCAATAGTCATCATTACCACCACAACCACATCTTCCTCCACAGTCACCATCACTATTTCTTCCAGCATTTATCTCTCAATCGTCACCATTATCCCCACAATCACACCTTCATCATCACCACTATTACCAACATCTTCCAATCACCACTACCACCTCTTCCTCCTCCATCAAAACACACACACACACCAGTAGCTGTGACTCGACCCCTGGAACCACAACTAGGTGAGTAACACACACAGCACAACGTACTCAAAATCGCCACTTAAAGCACGCTGAGGGTACAATTTTGCCCCCAGAGACAATTTGTATTCAGAGGTGTGTTTGTCCCTGAGTTCATGGCATTTCCGAAGTCATCTAGAACTATAACTGTGTAATATCTTCCCTGACTTTTTCCACACACGTATACTTATTCTAGTCTCTGACGGTGACCTCATTTAATGGACAATTCACCTTAATGATCTTTGGAACCTTCAGATGCGTCTGTACCGTGATGGCACCTATGACACCATTGTTATTCTGGTCACCACATATCTAAAAACATTCACTACGTCTCTTTACTTTCATCCATAAACCTGCATGAAGGTAAAAGTGGATATTAATTATGCATATTTATCTCATTTCTCACGTCTGCATTGCTGTGATATCCATGTTTTTTTTTTTTTCAATAGATATGTGAAAAGATTCGTTACTTTTGATCCTTTCATCTCTAGTTTTGAGTGACGGTATCACCAAGGTGTTGGTGGGCTGTTAAAAATACACACTTATTCCGTTCCTTATTAATAATATTGTCGAAAATATTACTCCCCTGTAAAAAAGTATTGCCCACATAC